CCTGTGCTTTAGCCTTAGTTTTTTTTCTTCTACAGGTGCTGGCCAGTAAATTAGAATATCATCAAAAGGTTGAAGATATTTCAGTAATTCCATTCAAAACGTGAAACTTGTACATTATATTCATGCAATGCACACAGACCAATGTATTTCCAATGTTCATTACATTTAAATTTGATATTCATAAGTGACAACTAATGAAAACTCCAAATTTGGTATCTCAAAAAATTAGAATATTCTGAAAAGGCTGAATATAGAAGACACCTGCTGCCACTCTAATCAGCTGATTTACTCAAAACACCTGCAAAGGCCTTTAAAAGGTCCCTCAGTCTTGTTTTGAAGGCACCACAATCATGGGGAAGACTTCTGACTTAACAGCTGTCCAAAAGACAATCATTGACACCTTGCACAAGGAGGGCAAGACACAAAAGGTGATTGCTAAAGAAGCTGGCTGTTCGCAGAGCTCTGTGTCCAAGCACATTAACAGACAGGCGAAGGGACGGAAAAAATGTGGTAGAAAAAAGTGTACAAGCTCTAGGGATAACCGCACCCTGCAGAGAATTGTGACGACAAACCCATTCAAAAATGTGGGGGAGATCCACAAAGAGTGGACTGCAGCTGGAGTCAGCGCTTCAAGAACCACCACGAGGAGACTCATGAAAGACATGGGATTCAGGTGTCGCATTCCGTGTGTCAAGCCACTCTTGAACAAGAAACAGCGCAAGAAGCGTCTCGCCTGGGCCAAGGACAAAAAGGACTGGACTGATGCTGAGTGGTCCAAAGTTATGTTTTCTGATGAAAGCAAGTTCTGCATTTCCTTTGGAAATCAAGGACCCAGAGTCTGGAGGAAGAGCGGAGAAGCACAGAATCCACGTTGCATGAGGTCCAGTGTAAAGTTTCCACCGTCAGTGATGGTGTGGGGTGCCATGTCATCTGCCGGTGTTGGCCCACTCTGTTTCCTGAGGTCCAGGGTCAATGCAGCCGTCTACCAGGAAGTTTTAGAGCACTTCATGCTTCCTGCTGCTGACCAACTTTATGGGGATGCAGACTTCACCTTTCAACAGGACTTGGCACCTGCACACAATGCCAAAACCACCAGCACCTGGTTCAAGGACCATGGTATCCCTGTCCTTGATTGGCCCGCAAACTCGCCTGACCTTAACCCCATAGAAAATCTATGGGGTATTGTGAAGCGGAGGATGCAATACGCTAGACCCAACAATGCAGAGGAGCTGAAGACGACTATCAGAGCAACCTGGGCTCTCATAACACCTGAGCAGTGCCACAGACTGATCGAGTCCATGCCACGCCGCATTACTGCAGTTATTGAGGCAAAAGGAGCCCCGACTAAGTATTGAGTGCTATACATGCACATTCTTTTCATGTTCATTCTTTTCAGTTGGCCAACATTAGAGAAACAAACATTTTTTCATTGGCCTTTAGAATATTCTAATTTTCTGAGATACCAGATTTGATGTTTTCATTGGTTGTCACCTATAAATATCAAAATTAAGCGTAATAAACATTGGAAATACATTGGTCTGTGTGCATTGCATGAATATAATGTACAAGTTTCACGTTTTGAATGGAATTACTGAAATATTTTCAACCTTTTGATGATATTCTAATTTACTGGCCAGTACCTGTATGTTTTCCTCCCTTTAAACATTTTCCATTGTCTTTCCTTTCTGCTTCCTTTTGATGTTAACAACGAAAAACGACGTCACTTTCAGAAGTGAAAATAAAAGCTTTCATGAAGCAAGCTGCTTCTTTCTCTTGTTGGAGCCACTAGGATAACTCAATTTCACGCTTAATGTTCTGACTATCGCTTTGGGTTTGTTACGAACGCCCCTGCCTCTCTTCTTCTTATTTGTGGTCTTATGGCACTTGGCAAACAACAATTTGGTGCATTACCGCCACCAACTGGATTGGAGTGGAATGACTACCAATCACTTCCTGTTTGTGCATCCCCGTCTTAATAACCCTATTATGACCATAATTATAATAGGGCCGCCTGGTATTTTTTTAATCTTATGGCTGTAAAATTGTAATAAAAACTACAAAGTGTGTGTAACTCTTCTTATTTCAGAACATCCTCAGCGTTTAGTGTATGGTTTGTATTTAGAATTTATTTCTGTTAAAGCCTTTGAGAAATCAGCTTAATAGTGAAAAAAGCAAAAAACGGATTAGAATTGTTTACATTTATTACTGAACAGGAACTTCAAAATGACTGGGCGAACAATTTAAACTTTGAACTGTAATGCATCTATTCTTAAAAAAGTGTGAACCTTGGTATATTTTTTAGCAGTTTTTAAGACCATTTATTTCTGTAAACTTTCAGACGTTTTTATTTGATGTGGTAGGCCTTGAAGCAGTTTCTCTCCAGCTGCAGGCAGAGTCCCACTCTGCGCACCTCACACCGCCATGGGGTGCTTCTCTTGCACACCGTGCACGCTATACCAAAAACTTTTGTTGTAGCAAAAATAATTATTTACGGTAAAAAGATAAATAATGCTGGAATGAAGCTGAATCTTACAATTAGCAAATAGTTGAGGGTTGTTCAAATAAAAAAATTAAAGACTGAACAAACATTCATAGCCTGGTTCATTGGAGATCTGTCCTTCGTGGTCACTGTCTTCAGATATAAGCCTTCTGGGACAGCAGATCGTGTTGATTTTCTTTGAGGCATTTCCATAATTTCATGCTGGTTTTTATGCTGGTTTATGTTGGTAATAAGAATATTATGGCATTAACAGAGGGGTGCCGGCGGTCAGGGCCAGGGGGCCCCCCAACACAAGGGGGGCCCAGGCGGCTGCCTACTTATGCCTAATGGTAAAACCGCCTCTGGCTTAAAGTATGAGCAGTCACAGAGAAGCTGATATTGTCCACTTGGGGGGCAGAGACCTGCTTCAAGTAGTTTCTGATGGCAGAAGGTCCTAGCCAGGTGACGCTGATGGTGGATGCTAACTTAAACCCGGATCCTGGCTGCTGGGGTGAAATGGATGAAAATGCCAGAAAATATTGGTAAATCATGGTTAATTCACAAATACCCTATGATTAATTAGATTAACATTTTTAGTTGTTTGACAGCCCTAATTAAAATAAATTTCTGCAGATAAGAATATTTTGCTTCGATCAAAGCATTTTTAGTTCCGAACAAGTGTAGCCCCTGTACACCTTAATCCTCCCGCTACAGCAGCTAAAAACACCTGAACATTGACAGACAATATCACCTGAGGCTCACACACTGAAAGTTGTACCTGTAAATAAATCAGTACAAGGTTGTAATAGTTTGATTAGTGAAATTTCAGATTTTTTTGTTCATGTACATTTACATTTTCTATTCATAAATATCTGAAGAACAATCAAATCCATTTTTTCTGTTGTTATAAGCTGTTTTGATTTAAAATGCCCATTATAAACTACACACCAGCTTTAAATGTTAATAGCCCAATAAAACCATAGTTATACTTAAAATAATTAAATCTCAGACCATCAGAAAAGTTGTGATCTTGATCACTGTCTTGATGCAGGAATATTTAATCAACCTTGTCGTACTTGTTCGCATGCACCCTTTATTGTGGTATGTGTGATGTGAACACCCCTCCCAGGGTGGAGGTCTTTGCTGTAACTGATTTCTAGTTTGTATTAGTTATCTTTCTTGATTGAGTGTTTAATTAGAACACTACCATGTTTTGCTTACAATTTGTGACAATTTATGGTGTGTTTATAGATAATCTAAGGTTCAATTGCAGTTTGTCCAAATAGGGGGCCCCAGAACAAAATCTTGCAAAGGGCCCCCACAATGCTAGAAACGGCCCTGTTCAACATAGCATGTTGGTTGTGAATCAGTTGTGAGTCCACTAGGTGGCGTCTTTCACACATAGTGCATTATGACCCGCTATGATAGCTTCCTTGTAACGTCCATCGTGATCAAGGCTGTGAAAGACACGGAATTCACTAACAGATAATACATAGTTTCAACTTTATTCGTCTTTAAAAAATATAGTTATATTAATAGTGAATAGTAATAATAGTTAATACTTTTAAATAGTGAACTTTTAAGGTATCGGACTGGCGTCGTTTCGGCTGTCATCAATAGAAATACTCTCAATTCAACTGATGAGGCAGTCTTGGACATGAGAGACAGACTGAATTAAAAAAAAGTTTAGTAATTATATTTTGATTTATGTGTTTTTTACAGTAATACAAAGATGCCCAACGTTTAATTATTAAACTAAGCATTTTAGGGGCGCCACTGCCTGCACGATGTGTGTGTGTGTGTGTGTGTGTGTGTGTGTGTGTGTGTGTGTGTGTGTGTGTGTGTGTGTGTGTGCGTGCGTGTGTGTGTGTGTGTGTGTGTGTGTGTGTGTGTGTGTGTGTGTAAAAGTATGAGTCTGGTCTCGGGCTTCCCTCACCACCCGATCATGCACCACCACGAACCCCGTCGATGTTCCTTCCACGCGGCGGCTGCGACCAGCCGGTGCCACGAAGACTCCGGGGCCCCTCCGTACTTTACAAGCTGGTTCATCAGCCACGCGGACATGTCCCCCAGAGAGTACAGCCTTGCGCCCGGCTACAGCCCAGAGTACCACACCGGTTGCGGGTCCTCCGAAAGCTTGGACCCGCATCACCACTACCACTACGGACCCGGTAACTTAATCTCGGGCCCCGGGAGCATCTCGGTGAATGGAACCACGGTCAGCATGCACCACCACCACCACGCACATCCTCGGACCTTGAAGCGGAGACCGACTGCCAATCGCAAGGAAAGGCGGCGGACCCAGAGCATTAACTCGGCCTTTGCCGAGCTGCGGGAGTGCATCCCGAATGTTCCAGCCGACACCAAGCTGTCCAAGATCAAGACGCTTCGGCTGGCCACTAGCTACATCTCCTACCTGATGGACATCCTGGACAAGGACGGACAGCACGGAGAGACCCAGGCGTTCAAGGCGGAACTCAAGAAAACGGAGCTTCGGGAGGAGCGCAGGAGAAGAAACACGGTAAGGAGACGGAGGGGTCAAGGTCTCCTCTGAGGGAGAGGAGAGGAGTAAGAAAATACACAATTATTGTTAGTATTGGAGAAAAGTCTGTTTGATTATGAAGTAAAAAAACAATAAAAGTTATTTAAAGTTTGCTGGGTTTAGATTGGGTTCAGTCGATTCGTTTTCACAGAAGGAACTTTCTTGTCGTTTCCTCACAATAAATCACTGCTTAGAAAATCTGCTGCAACGTTTTTCAATAGAAAACTTAGAATTAAAACAATCAAATGATCCTAGAAGAAATAGTAATAATAACATTTTGAAGCTATAATTTTCCGTAATATTTTTTATAAAGTTTGTAGTTGAGTCCACGAGCAAAAATATGTTTTTTTTATTTTACTATGAATTCTAATGTATTCATTTATTTAAAACCTATTAAATAAATTAATAAATATACATACAAAATAATTATAAATACTACAGTACAACTGTTATATAAAATCAAAACGCGTGCAAAACCAGACAGAAATCTGAGGCAGAGAAAACATTTTTAAGAGGATGAAAAACAGACTTCATATTGTTTTAATTTTAATGTGTTCAAAAGAAGTCTCACTGCTTGTCTGTTGCCCCTTTCTCTCACGTGAAAATTATTTAATTCCATTTAAATTTGAAATACTGCAGCCTTCACGATATCCCATACAATAAATCATCAAGTGTTGCATTTTTATTCGATTTTATTTGAACACATATTTTATTTATTCTAGACTGGAGTAAAAAGACTATAATTTGCTCTGAGGAACTGATGCATCCTGGCTCACATGAACAGATCAGCTGACTGATTTGTCAAAATTTATTTATTTATCTATTTATTTGTTTGCATTTTAAAACATGTTAAAGCTCATTTCGGTTCATTAGTTTTTCTTGGTATCTTACGTTGAGCTGCCTCTAATGTATAACTTTATTGTTCTAATAATGCAGTGTTTACTTTCTTACAGTTAAAATTGCAAAACGGAAGTGCAGAGCCTGTTAAAGAAATGTTTGTTTGGCGCGCGAGTGTTTGGGGAGTCAATTTTCACTCTTAAAACTCTGAAACCTGTTTTCCTTGTCTAGTTTTTATTTGACTTAAAATTTTGTTCTACTTAAAAACAAACAAGCTGTGAATTTTTAAACTTCTAACTTTTGTAACAAAAACAGTTTGTCTACTTTTTGATTAGGCATAATACATGTTCAGGATCCTGTATGAGAATATAAAAGAAACCGAATTAAATGACATTATTGGATGAATGGAACAAAAACAGTTTAGCATATTAGACCTTTTATTTCAAAACATAAACGAGGAGGTTGAATTTTATACCAACTGGTTAGTTTTTTACACACACGCGTGCCCATCACAGGTGTACACTCTTTTTTGTGTCTGTATTTTATTTCAGTTTATCTTAGGCACCACATCTAATTCTCTTATCATTTTAGTTATTTGTATATTCTGTGAATGTTAATACAACATCATCTGATAAATCGCTCTTCCTTCGGATCGTTTAAAAACGTTTTAGCAGCAGCGCGCTGGCGCTCCGTCCGCACGCATCACGCACGGTGCGTGGGGCACCGAGTGGCCAGGGGGCAACAATCAATCAGGCTTATGAAGAAAAAAAAAACAGATTATATTCATTATAATACTGGACAACATGCATACAAACAACACTGAGGTAATCATTTAACTGGTATTATTAGATTATTTTTATTTTCCTTAACCCTTGAACCTGAAATAAGCACGCACACACACACACACACACACACACACACACACACACACACACACACACACACACACACACACACACACACACACACAGACACGCACACAGAGCGGTGAGCTTCACCTGCTGGTGATGGCCCGGTCAGTGCCGTGGGAACATGTTTTCTTTAGGGGATGCTGCACACGTGTTTAACAAGTTTGTATATATATATATATATATATATATATATATATATATATATATATATATATATATATATAGGCTAATAGCTAGTAGTAAGCCTTAATATCATTTATTTTTGGTTAATTCTTCAAAATAACAGCAGCTTATTACCATCCACACTGCAGGAAATCCCCACACACAACAAGTCAAAACGTATCCACACCGAACCGGCGCGCACACTGCAGAAGCGCACCCCTTCCACTCACGAAATGAACTGTCAGATGCTCTGCAGGTTATTCACAAACAACAGATCTGACACCTAACTGTTTGTCAACAAAAACAGAACATCACTCAGAACATCTCCTTAAATCTAACTTGGAAACAAAACATAAGAATTTCACCCGTTGTACATGTGACACCACAGAAAAACTGTCAAACACCAACACAGTGGTGCTAGACCGGTTCACCTTTCACGCACAGCGCTTTGTGTTCTGCGCCTGAAGGTTTGGGAATGTTTGAACAAGAGAGAAAGGCGAGAAAATGTTAATACATATCTGATAAGGGGGTATAATGTGTGTGGTGAGGGGTTTCACAGCCTCCAAACATCGTGGCGGTGCGCTGGGACGAGCATGTCTGCGGGGAGAGGCGCGCGCACATGTGCCAAAGCTGTAATCTGCGCTCGCGCGTATGCAAGTGGAAGAGACGCAAATCTTACATTTCTGTTAATTTCCCGCCCTTGTTCTAGGTAAATACGTAATGAAGTATTCTACGTTACCTAAATGGCGGCCGCCAGGGCCGGATAGTCATTGCAGGGGGCAGGGGCCCCTGGGTGCTTTAAGCCCCCCAGCATAAGCCTATAAAAATATTGTAATGGCACACGTCACATATACGCTCCATTAGATATAAGTGTCCTTGCTAGGCCCTTAGGCTATTACAGATGAAACATTTGGGACATCGCACTGTGGATTTTAACATGTTCAAGAACTTAGAGATTTTTTAAAGGGGAGTATTTGAAACATGCAGTTATTGAAAAGTTATGAAAGGTCTGGATATTTTGCCAAAAAAGGTTTTTTTATAAGGTGATTTTATTTGTAATTTCATGTATATAAAAGGTTTCATTATTCAATAACATACATATAAATGTAGAGTACAGATACATTTTAAATTGCTATATTATTACTTAGACTTTATGCACCCAAAAACAATTAGTAGGTACTAATGATAATAATGAATTTAATTTATGTAGCGCTTTTTTCATCACCCTCACTTTCTATTATTCACACATTCTCACATTCACACACTGAATGATGGTAAGCTACTACGTAGCCACAGCTGTCCTAGGGCAGTCTGACAGATGCAAGGCTGCCATTCTGCCCCATGGGCCCCTCAGGCAAGTTGGGTGACGTTTCTTGCCCAAGGACACAACAGCAGAATACCCCTGGCGGGAGCTGGACTCACGCCTCTGATCCTCCAATCACAAGGCAGCGTGCTCTACCTCCGGAGCTACTGCTGCCCCTATGTTTAGTTTGTAAGCCGCACGTGACTCATAATGCCAGAGACACCACAGTCAATATTTCAGAGACTGATGCAGTGTTTCAACTACATTTTGAGATGCACACACACGTCCTTGTCCTTTTTGGTTTCTTTCTCTCTTCTCTCCTGCCTTTCCACCTCTCAAGGCTCTTGTCTCCTCTTTCCTCCTTTTGTCTGCATGTTTCCTGTGTTTGACATCATGTCATCTTGTCAGAAATGTTGTGCATTTACTGTTGTTAGTGACGTTTTAGCATGAAAACATGGTAGAAAATGTTTACATAACAGCCATGAAAATCGGCAGCATGGCCCATCAGCGTACCTTGACCTCAACATATTGGTGCATTAGAAGAACCCATATCGGCGGATCTGGCCGGTATCCAGCACGTTTTAGTGGTTTCTCTCGTCCAGCACACTAGATCAGTGGTTGAATCACCTTTACAGCAGCTCATCAGGCTCTGCAGAAGCCTGTTAATCACCTGCTGATTGAAATCAGGTGTGTTAAAGCTGGGTTAAAACCCACACGTGCTAGACACTGGCCCTCAAGGCCCTGAATTGAATAGCCCTGCTCTATAGTCTAAACTGATCTACCAGAATATTCTAAACTTCATCATTAGCTGCATTCATGCTGACCAACAATCTGAAAGATCTGTTTGCTTTTGGCAGAATTAAGTAAAAATAATTCGGTCACAACAGCAGCTGAAAATAAATGTTTTCCATGTGTCAAAGAGACAAAACAGCTATAACTGGTCAAACATGAGGGAGGCACACATAATACTATTAACACTTTCATTTTCTAAATTTTGTAATGAGGCAAACAGCTTAACAGTTTGTATTTGGATTAACATGAATTCAAGTGAACTCCCAGAAAAGTATGTTTAAAACTAAATATTTTTTATTTTTCAAATAATAGTTCTGTGATGTTTTTTAAGGAAGGTAAGGGAGAAAATAACCCAAATCTGATTGGAATGAAAAAAAAAAAAGCATCTGAGAATATAACCGTGTTCTCTTCTTCTCATCATCAGCTACATCTACCACAGGCCTGCACCTGAGCAGGCCTGGCTCTCCCTGTCTTACCTTCATTGTTTTCCAGCTGAACTTTCTCTCATCTTTAACATGAAAACGATAACGTTTAAAAATAAATACTGAAAGGGATGTCACAAACAAGCAACAGTCATACAATCTCCATGTGAGAGATATGTAACTTTTACTAATTTAATTGTCATGTAGCTCAAGTAAAAGAAAAGGTTGATCTTTAACAACAATTTTTTAAACTGAATTTGGTATCTAATGGCTTTTGTCTGTCGCTGAAAAGAGCTCCATTTTTGCTATTAACGTTAGTGTTTAAGTCACATCGAGATTTTTAAACACCCTAAAGTTCGAGAGGGTGCTCGCTGCAGAACTACAAAGGTGGAGCTGCACCAGAGTCAGCCCCGCTCATTCACGCAAACAGCCTAGCCCACTGACTTCTTCCGTTTTTTTTTTTGTTTTGTTTTTTTGACCGTGTCCTGTCTGGCTGTGAAGCAAACAGAATTGATGTCTGAATGCTGGTAACAAGCCTTACAGATTTACTCT